GGGCACAGCCCGGCAGCCACTGTTGTAGGGGGCACAGCCAGGTAGCAGTAGGAGAGGGCACAGCCTGACAGCTGTAGGGTTGGGGGTAGGGGGCACAGGGTAATCTGCCCAGTGTCCCTCTGTCTCTACTGGGACACTTTCAGAGCCCTGTCTCTGTCCCTCTCCCATCCTGTCCCTCTCTCTGGGGCCCACTAGGGAGCAGCATAGAGCAGCGGTCTGAAGCACAGGCTTTGGAGTTAGGCTGCTGAATTCTGGTTCTGTCTTCTACCCACCAGAGTGGCCTAGAACATGCTGCTCAACTTCTGGGTGTACTTTCTCATATCTAATGCGGGCAAGCCAGCACCCACAGTGCAGGGTTCTACAGCCCCACGAGGCCACGAGGAACAACATGTGCACGGCAGCCAGCACGGTTCACGGACCTGGGAACAAGGGCCGTCTCTTGTCATCTGCCTGACCTCTTGCCCTTCTCACTTCTAGGCTGGAGCCAGATATCCTGCTTCGGGCCAAGCAAGATTTCCTGAAGACAGACAGCGAATCAGACTTCCAGTGAGGAGGGCAGAGGGGCACGGGGGATGTGGGGGTGTGGGGCTGGGGCCTGTCCCGCTGCTGGCTCCAGCCCCCTCCCTTCTACTCTCCCCCTGTAGGCTCTTCAAGGAGCAGAGCGAGGGGCAAGGTGACCGGGGCCTGCGGGACCGAGACGTGGTGCTAGAGCGGGAATTTCAGCGGGTCACCATCTCCGGCGAGGAGAAGTGTGGGGTCAGTGTGGTCAGGGCCTTTGGTCTCACTCCCCTCAATTCCACGGTGTTCCATTGGCCGGCTCCCCCAGCTTGGGAACTGGGTGGGCTAGCATGGGCATTTCTTGTTTCAAAAGCTGGAGGGGCAGAGGGTCTGGCTGTTAGCTAGTTGATGTACTGTTTCTAGGGTCAAGGCCTTGGGGAAGAGGCGAGGGTGGGCCTGGTGTGGGTCTGAGACCAAGGAGAGTGACCCCATGTCCTTGTCTCCAGGTGCCATTCACAGACCTGCTGGATGCAGCCAAGAGTGTGGTGCGGGCACTTTTTATCCGGGAGAAGTACATGGCCCTGTCACTGCAGAGTTTTTGCCCTACCACCCGGCGGTATCTGCAGCAGCTGGCTGAGAAGCCTCTGGAGACACGGACCTATGAGCAGGGCCCTGACACCCCTGTGTCTGCTGGTGGGACCCCCATTCGTGCCCTACTCTAAGTGCCCTGGCGTCCCAGGCTCCCTGAGCCTGGTGCCTAGAAACCTCCACCCTGCCTGCTTCTTCCCACCCGGGCTCATTCCAGCCTCTCGGTACATGGTGGGTGGAGGCAGGGGCAGGAGCTCTCGCCCTCTATGGAGCCCCTGGGCTGGGCAGTGGGTGGCCAGGAGGAGCCCTGGCCCTGACTCCACCCTCCCTACCCCTGTAGATGCCCCGGTGCACCCCCCTGCGCTGGAGCAGCACCCATATGAGCACTGTGAGCCGAGCACCATGCCTGGGGACCTGGGTTTGGGTCTGCGCATGGTGCAGGGCGTGGTGCACGTCTACACCCGCAGGGAAACTGATGATCAGTAAGCCGGTGTGGGGAGTGCTGGGGTGGGGGGAGCTGTATGGGGGCTGCATTGGCTTAGGGGGTTCCATGGGGCACGACGTGCTCTTCTCACCTAAGCTCTCACTATGTATCAGTTGCTCAGAGATGGAGCTGCCGTACCCTGACCTGCAGGAATTTGTGGCAGATGTCAATGTGCTCATGGCCCTGATTATCAATGGCCCCATGTGAGTCCCTGCCTGTCCCGGTCATTTGGCTCCCTTCCCGGCCTGGACTCTCCAGCCTCAGCCCTGCCCCTGTCACCTGCCACCATCTCTCACCCCTTCTCAGTCACTGAGTCCTAGACTTTCCCTCTGTCTTTTGCCCCCTCAGTCTTTTTGCAGGCAGTCTCAGTCCTGCACCCTCCCACCCCCTCCCTCTCTGCCTCCTTACCCAGGCCCTCCCCAGGTGCCTCTTTGTGTCCTAGAGTCCCTGCCATGTTCTCTTCCTGCCCAGAAAGTCCTTCTGCTACCGTCGGCTACAGTACCTGAGCTCCAAGTTCCAGATGCACGTGCTGCTCAACGAGATGAAGGAGCTGGCCGCCCAGAAGAAGGTTCCACACCGAGACTTCTACAACATCCGCAAGGTGGGCCCCCACACCATGCCCGGTCCTGCACCCCTGCCTGGCCTCCCTTGCAGGGCCTGGACCCCCTGCCCAGCATTCCTTGTGCAGAGTCCTCTCCTAGCCCAAGCCCCAGGCTCTCTTGGCCTCCAGGGAACCCAGCAGCCCCGTTCCACCCCAGGTGGACACGCACATCCACGCCTCGTCCTGCATGAACCAGAAGCACCTGCTGCGCTTTATCAAACGGGCGATGAAGTGGCACCTGGAGGAGATCGTGCACGTGGAGCAGGGCCGCGAGCAGACGCTGCGGGAGGTCTTTGAGAGCATGAATCTCACTGCCTATGACCTGAGTGTGGACACGCTGGACATGCACGCGGTCTGTCCTGGTGCCACGGGGGCGGAGGGGCCGGGTCAGTATGTGAACCAGGGGCAGGGGTGACCTGGGCCTGCCTGTTTTCCCCAGGACAGAAACACCTTCCATCGCTTTGACAAGTTCAATGCCAAATACAACCCCATTGGGGAGTCTGTCCTCCGAGAGATCTTCATCAAAACCGACAACAGGGTCTCTGGAAAGTACTTTGCCCACATTATCAAGGTGAGGCGGAGTGGCTGCCAGGGCCCATGTGCAGGGGCAGCAGCCTTGAGTAGCCCTTCCCCAGACTGCGGGAGTCTGGTGTCGGGGAGGCAGGTGAGGAAGGTGGGTAAGAGGCATGAAGACGTGTGACGGAGCACACACGGTGGGTGCAGAGACAGGGATGGTGGGAGCCTGAGTGTGATGGTTGCCCCATGTGTGTCTCTCAGGAGGTGATGTCAGACCTGGAGGAGAGCAAATACCAGAACGCGGAGCTGCGACTCTCCATCTACGGGCGCTCAAGGGACGAGTGGGACAAGCTGGCCTGTTGGGCCGTGAAGCACAAAGTACACTCCCCCAACGTGCGCTGGCTCGTGCAAGTGCCCCGCCTCTTGTGAGTGGCCCTTGGAGTGGGAGGGAGCGTGGGGGCCAGAGTTCCAGGGGCCAGGGCCTACCTCCTGCCCGCCGGGGATGGCTGACCCCCTCCCCCCCCCCGTCCCAGCCAAGCCCTCTGAGTAGAAGAGGAACTGCCCGGTTCCACTCATGGTCTGTCCAGCCTGGCCCACCCAGTGTGGTTCAGAAGAGCTTCTTTGATTTCGGGCCAAGCTCTGGTGCCTACTGACCTGCACGTCCTGTGTGCGTACGTCCCACCTGCAGTGACGTGTACCGTACCAAGGGCCAGCTGGCCAACTTCCAAGAGATGCTGGAGAACATCTTCCTGCCACTGTTTGAGGCCACTGTGCACCCTGCCAGCCACCCCGAGCTGCACCTCTTCTTGGAGCACGTGAGGGGGTGGCACAGGGCAGGGTGTGGGGAGGGGGGCAGGGTGTGGGGAGGGTGGCTGGCCTCAGGTGCGGCTGTAGCTCTGGGCCTGACCCTGGGGTCCTGTGCCAGGTGGACGGCTTTGACAGTGTGGATGATGAGTCTAAGCCCGAGAATCACGTCTTCAACCTGGAGAGCCCTCTCCCCGAGGCTTGGGTGGAGGAGGACAATCCACCCTATGCCTACTACCTGTACTACACCTTTGCCAACATGGCCATGCTGAACCACCTGCGCAGGTGTGTGCTCCACCAGGGTAGGGTCTCTACTCCCCCCACTGTCTCTCCCGCTGCCCTGGCCTGGGGCCACCAGAGCCCTGACCCTCCTCCTGCCCCAACTCCTGGACCCAGTGCGTTCTTTCTGCGCCCTCAGGGCTCCATGGCTCAGCATTCAGAGCCAAGAATCTGCCCCTGGCCCCTTGTCCCAGACCCACACGGTCACTGGGTGGGGGCTCAGGGGCCCAGGCTCGGGAGCTGACACTGTCTTCATGCCCCCAGGCAGAGGGGCTTCCACACATTTGTGCTGAGGCCGCACTGTGGGGAAGCCGGGCCCATCCACCACCTGGTGTCGGCCTTCATGCTGGCGGAGAACATCTCTCACGGGCTGCTTCTGCGTAAGGTCAGGGTGTGCACCTGCAGCCACCCCTCCCAATTGCTCACCTTCCTTTCAACCCTTTGGCCTCATCAGCAGCTTATCTTCCTTCCCACCAAACCCTCAGTTTGGACTCTGCCTCACCCCAGCCTCCACAGGGAGGCCCCAGCTTGGATTTTGGCCATAAATGACTCTTTGTACGTGAGGCTGAGCCCGGACTCCCCCATCTCCTCTTCCTGTGGCCTGTGCCCTCCAGAACCGGGTATCCTCCCCAGCCCCGAGGCCTTCTGACAGGTCCTCCCTCCCTGTTGCCTGCCCAGGCCCCAGTCCTGCAGTACCTGTATTACCTGGCCCAGATTGGCATCGCCATGTCCCCACTCAGCAATAACAGCCTCTTCCTCAGCTATCACCGGAACCCGCTACCTGAGTACCTGTCTCGTGGTCTCATGGTCTCGCTGTCCACTGACGATCCCCTGCAGTTCCACTTCACCAAGGTCAGAATCTGGAGGGCATCCAGGCCAGCTGTGGTTCTAGGCTGCAAAGGTCCCCCCATCCTTCCCCGCCCCCAACCTGGGCCTCAGGGCTGGTGCTGCCCCCTGCTGGTGGAGTGTGCAGCATGTCATGGCAAATTCCCGGGAGAGAGGGGCGCGGGTACAGGATGAGGGTAGGGGTGGGCAGGGACTGGGTGGTAGGCCCGGGTGCACCTGTCTGAGGGAAACTGGCCTGTGCAGGAGCCACTGATGGAGGAATATAGCATCGCTACCCAGGTGTGGAAGCTCAGCTCCTGCGACATGTGTGAGCTGGCACGCAACAGTGTGCTCATGAGCGGCTTCTCCCACAAGGTACCACAGCCAC